AAGCTCCTCTCGATCTCTCTACGTATTCTCTTTCCTTCTGCTCTCTATGTGGGAGAGAGAGGGAGTACTCTTTTTTTCGTTTCTCTGCGCGTGTCAGCACTTATCTAAAAAATTCGTATTAAAATATGTTTTAAACGTTTAAAGCAACTACCCCGTGGGATCCCATCCTGGCCTTCTATTCCAAAGCTTGCCATTGGGTGCATTTGATATAGGCAAGGCGGCTGAGCCCATATTTTCCCTATAAATATAAATATATATATATATTATATTATTAAGCAAAAATTAAGAGATAAACATGTATCACAAGATTGAAAAAAGGCCGCATGCGTAGAGATGGGTACGGTAATGGATGACTAAGAGTGAGGGACTTCAAGATTTTCGCAAAATTCAGTTGAAATTGTCTCTACCATTTCTATCCTATGATCTACGTGAGATGTTTCCTTATTTTTATAATTTTGGCTATTTAAACATATTTCTCTATCTAAAAATCTCCTTCCTATAATTTTGTAAGGTAGTATGCATATTCTCACATGAAGAGAACTACATCTAAGAAAATATTTACTAAAATTTATAAATGTATCTCTATCCTGAGGAAAGAATATCATGGAGAAGATACCCATCATTGAGTTAGAGATTTTTGGGAATAGGTAATAAAAAGAGATATATAGAGAGAAAGAGAGGGTGAGAGATAAATACATGACAGAAGGAGATGGAGAGAAAATTAAGGAGAGAGATCATTAAAGATTCTTCAAGAGAGAGAGCTCAATCAAAATCTTAAATTTTAAGATAATATATTTATCGCTCCCACATATAAAATCACGTGAGAGTCTCTACAATTATATTGATAAAAAAGATTAGTACTACAACTAATATTAATTCAAATACACAATAATATCCTTAAATTACAAGTAAATACTATTTGTATTTAATAATTATCTGATTATAACACTATAATCATATATACTCATAGTAATAAAATATAATAACTAATTTATTTCATAATATAAATTATAAATATTATTGTTCATTTCATATTAATATTTAAGTTCTTAATTGTAATGATAATATTTATAATAAATATATTATAAGCTAATATTATATTATAATTTATAGATGTAAATCACTATTGTAATTGTACAATTTATTTAATGTATTTAAAAGATATCTAAATATTTAAGTATTTAAGATATATTAGTGTTGAATATTTAATATCATGGGCATCGCATATGCATGTTACTTGTAGATGCATAAATCATATGAAATTTTTTTTTTTGAGAGTGGCCTTGGGCCGTGGCAGTAGTATTATCAAGCCCCATAGTGAGGTCTTTGGCTCCAATCTCATTAAAAGGTAGGTGCCTAAATCCTAACAGACTTTACCACTTTTACTATTACTCAAATAGAGTATTGGTACCTTCAAGAGGTTTTACTTACCCAAATTACTATTATTCAAATAGAGTATTGGTAAAAAGCTTATAATTTTCTTCAAAAGGTTTTACTTACCCAAATTACTTTTATTTAATTAGAGTATTGGTAAAAGCCTATAATTTTCGTCAAGAGGTTTTACTTACCTCAGAAAAAAACCACTAAAAGCTAGCATGCTTAAAATAAAAAACCTCCAAAGCTTATAATTTTCTTCAAGAGGTTTTACCTACCAAAAAAAAAAAAACCTTCAAAAGCTAGCTTGCTTAAAATAAAAAACTCCAAATTCTAGCAAGAAAAAACTCCAAAAGCTAACATGCTTAAAATACTCCTACTCCTAAGTGTTTTAAATGAGGGAATTAACCTACCACTTTTATTGATACTCAAATAGGTAAAAGCTTATAAATATTTTCAAGAGGTTTTACTTACCTCAAAAAAAAAACCTCCAAAAGCTAGCATGAAAAGCCTCTGAAAGCTAGCATGCTTAAAATACTCCTAAGTGTTTAAAATGAAGGAATTAACCTACAATATGCTCCAACATGAGTATACAACCTTTTGGACAAAAGTGAAACTTTGAATGGACCTAAACAATCTTGTTCAATGAAGTAACCACTTTTACTATTACTAAAATATTACTGAAATAGAGTATTGGTAAAAGCTTATGATTTTCTTCAAGAAGTTTTACTTACCAAAAAAAAAAAAACCTCCAAAAGCTAACATGCTTAAAATACTCCAAAAGTAAGTGTTTTAAATAAGGGAAATAACCTACAATGTGCTCCAACATGATCCAACATGAGTATACAACCTTTCGAACAAAAGTGAAACTTGGAATGGATCTTGTTCAATCAAAGTAATTAAATTTCCATCTTGTTCCAGTGGGGCTTGCTTAGATAGGTCAAGTTTATGTGGCCTTTAAAGACCTTATGAGAGCTTGAACTCAGTGGGAGTGTGGTCATCTTGTAGACTATACTAGACAAATGTGATTTGCCGATACTCGGACTAGGCTCGATGTGCTAGGCCAGCCGAGTTTGAAAAAACCCAAGATACCTGGGCATAGGGATCTACGGAGAAGGGTTTAGTGGGTTTGTCGTTGATGAGGTCGAAGTATACTCAGATGAGAGTCGAAGGACTGCGTGGCATGTGATGAATAGTCTTTAGAGACATTGCTAAAACCTCATCATTATATCATCGCACGGCATGTATATATAGATAGCTGTTTTGAGATTCGTCAATGAGAGTGAAGCGTGTATATGTATGAGAGATTACCCCTATGTATCATAGAGTCATGGTTGCATCATGGTCTGAAAGATGATGATTTTTTGTCTCTAAGCGTGAACCTGAAATCCATAAACTGGGATTGTGTCCCTTAGTCTATTGGCTGACTTTGGTAGTCTAAT